CCCTCCCTCCGGTATTGGAAGTCGGGATGGATGACTTTTGGGGGGATCGAAGAAGCGGGCGGGACCCCGGAGGACCGGACGGCGCTGAGGGGGCTGAGCTGTTGACCCGGTAGATGCCCAAGTTCACTCCCCGGGGGCTCGCCCTCCGCTCCACACCCTCACGGTCCCAGGATGGAGTCCTGGGGAGGAAGGCGAGCCGGCCGTGCCCCGAGGCTCCAATCTGCTCGTTTCTCCGGGCAGCGCCGAGCGAGTGGGGTTGGGTCGGGTCCTCGAGTTACACACGGGACTGATTCTCATCTCTCTCGCGGCTCGTGTGCTTCCTGGGGCCGTTGTGTCTTTTGTCCGCCCCGGGCCGGTAAGTCGCTCCGGTACCTATTGGCCTGTTTCACTGCTGGCTTGGCTCACACCCGCGGGCTGTTCCACGGGCGGCTTCCCGCCCCTTCAGTGACCCGAAAGGAGTCATGAAAATCGGATCAGTCGTGGAATGTGTGTCCAGACTGGGTAACTAGCATGAAGCAGGCAGAATTTACGAATTGCTTGAAATGCATGAAAACGCTCTCATGTTTATTTTCACATAGAGCCAGACAATTTTTACAAACTTGGAAAATGTCCACTCTTGCACAAAACACACTTAGTCATCAATTTCATAAGGCTTCCTCTTTCTACATAGTTCTCCATTTGTGTTTAGTAAAAGACTTTATAGATGTATCCATTTTTTTTTCTTCCAAACAAAATGAGAGATTTTTTTAAAATGGGTGTCATGAAGTTAACTTCTTCTCCCTGGTTAACTTATCTTTATCCGCAAATGCTTTATAGGAAATTTCTTGTTAATGTTTTGATTTCGTAGACCTGCCTGTGTGATTTCCAATCCCCAGAAGAATGTATTCGTGTGAACTCGGTTCTCCAAGTGCCAGATTTAAGAAAGTGGATGCTCAGCCCCGTATTTCTGCTCCTGTCTTTCAGATTGTTCCTGGGTTTCATGGCGTATTTATTCTCTCTTATCCTTAATTATAGCAGCATTTTATAATATAGGAATGGAAAGTAATGTGCTTCCTGTCGTACAAGAAGATTATACCTATGGTTTAAAATTATTGGTGGGCATTTTTAAAGACTCATTTGCTCAGCCTTAGTATTTCTAACAATGCTGTTTAAGCTTCAACTGTCTACCATAGAGAAGGCTGTGTATTTGTGTTTATGTTAGCTTTTTGTTTTGACATCATAGGCCAAAACTAAACTAAAGTGCTTTTGTGTTTTTATTTAGAGTCATCTTGGTTGCCCTTTGAGTCATTACGTCATAATAAATTGTTTTACAATTAAACTTCATTAACATGATGTTCGGGTTACTTGGAATCTCACTTTTTAGTTAATCTTGCTCCTTTCAGATAAATGGGTGTGTCCTGTAGGTTGTTTTTTTTTTCTTTTGCTCTTTGACTAAGTAAACTCATTGAAAATAGAAGAGGGGATGCCAACATCTAAGCTTTTCCCCCCAAAATGAGCATACAGGAAACTTTCAGTTTACAGGGAACATTCTTTGGGACCACTACTAGGTTCTTTAGTTGTAGAGATGTAAGAGATGTTACTCGGTATGTAAAATAAGCTCATGCTTTTGGGTATGTTTATAGTAAAAGTTAAAATCTTGATCAACTCAACTAATCAGACTTTTTCTAAATGTGCATTAGATTCTGAAACACAGCCCCATTTTAAAATCTTTTGGACTATTAGAGAGAGAATTACTAGCTTACATTTCAAGATAATGGAGGCACCACCATTTTTTCATCATTTATGATAGCCTGCTACATTTTATATGATTTAAAGATTTTTTTTCTAGTTTCTTACCTCTCATGAGGCCGATTTGGGCTAGTGTGCAAATGTTCTGTATTAGTCTAATGATGCTGTTACTGAGGTTAACATGGTTTTTCTTGCTCTCAGAAGATTTTAACTGTACCTTAAAAGCAATAGAATGCAAATACAGCCCATAGAACATAAATGAGATGTTGCATGAATATTAACAGAATCGTTTGTATAATGTGATCATGGAGTATAGCATATGCAGTTTTAAAATTATATCAGACAATTACTATTCAGCTGGCAAGACTTTAGGTGTAAAAACAAAATGTGGTGCCTGAAAAGTTTCCTCACAACTTGGAAAAAGCATGTTTAAATTTTTCCTTACGTTGTGTAATCAGAGTATCTTTATTGAGAGGCACCCTCTGGGTTTTGGGTTTTGAGTTGTGTAATTGGGCCAGTCTTAGGGGACTGGAGCTAGGAGAAATGGTCTCAATTAGAAAGAATGTTTGTGGACTAAGTGTTGTCATGGTGACTGATACTGTAATCAAGAGTGTAAGAAGTTCATTTTCTATTGCTGCTGACTTCGGGGGGGAAAAAACTGTACAGTTACTACATTGACATAGTGAGAAATATTTTTGGATTGTAAGATCTGTGTTTAAATCATTTGGAAAGAAACACTTTTATCCTTTTATTCATATGCTGCCTCCCATAGCAATGCAAAGTATTCAATATGTATATGTACTCAAATACCAGGGAGGAATCAAAATTAGAAGAATTACCCCTGCCCTTGAAGAGCTGACTGGCTTTTTTGAGTTGAATATTTTAGTACAACCAGAGGGAAGAGGAGTGGAGTGGTACAGAAAAGTAGTCTTCATTTTCCACTTAGTCATACCAATACTCCTCCTAGATGATAGAAATGATGGCATAAGTATGAAATTTGTGATTTTGAGTATGGACAGCACATCTTGTATCCGTTACATCTGTCTCATATTCTATATTCTATAGGAACTAGAGGCCTGGTGCACGAAATTAGTGCACTGGTGGGGGGGGGTCCCTCATCCCAGCCTGCGCCTTCTCGCAGTCCAGGAGTCCTCGGGGGATGTCCAACTGACAGCTTAGGCCCGCTCCCCGGCTCAGGGCTTCTGGCTGAGCTGTGCTCCCCCTGTGAGAGCGCACTGACCACCAGGAGGCAGTTCCTGTATGCGTCTGCCCCCTGGTGGTCAGTGTGCATCATAGCGACTGGTCATTCCGCTGTTTGGTCGATTTGTATATTGGCCTTTTATTATATAGGATAGGATAATGCTAAACAAAAGCCTTATACCAGAGATTCAAGTAACTGCATTTTTTAATTCAGTGTCTGTTATGGAACTTTGGATAAAGCAGCCAATTCGTGCATTTCCCGTTCCTTGGCTATAACATGGGACAGTGCTAAAGATTCCTCTACTATTTAATAAAGGCCTGTTCTTAGGAAGAGGGATTAGACAGTAATGGTTACCTCTGAGGATAGAAATAGACCAGATGTAGGGAAGGACAGAATTGGTCTTAACATAAAGCATGTCATAATTCCGAGTTGTTCATCAGTGGAAGTGTGGCTTTTTGAGTAACTGATCTCAATGTTAGTGAAACATTCAGATCAGAAAGAAGTGTCTGCATTGAGTAGGGGGCTAGATGCTGTTTTAGCCGTTTAAGTACATAAGGTGTTCTGGTTATCCATTGCTGTGTACCAAACCACTCAAAACTTAATGGCTTAGAATAATGGCAAGTATTTATTTTTTCACAACTCTGCAATTTGTGTAGGGCTTATTAGGGTTGGCTCTCTGCTCTCTGTGGCATCAGCTGGGGCAGCTTGACTAGGGGGCTGGAGGATCTGCTTTCAATATGGCTTAATCACAGATCTGGCTAGCAAGTTGATGCTGGCTTTCAGCTAGGACAGCCGTGGGCAAACTATGGCCCACGGGCCGGACCCGTTTGAAATGAATAAAACTAAAAAAAAAAAAAAGACCGTACCCTTTTATGTAATGATGTTTACTTTGAATTTATATTAGTTCACACAAACACTCCATCCATGCTTTTGTTCCGGCCCTCCGGTCCAGTTTAAGAACCCATTGTGGCCCTCGAGTCAAAAAGTCAGCCTGGGGTCAGGGGCCTCATCAGGTACGCCAGGCTTCCGCACAGCATGATGACAGGACTTCAGGGGCAAGTGTCCTAAAGAGAAACTGGTAGAAGCTGCATGGCTTTTTCTACCTAGCCCAGCGGTTCTCAACCTGTGGGTTGCGACCCCTTTGGCGGTCGAACGACCCTTTCACAGGGGTCGCCTAAGACCATCCTGCATATCAGATATTTACATGACGATTCATAACAGTAGCAACATTACAGTTATGAAGTAGCAACGAAAATAAATTTATGGTTGGGTCACAGCATGAGGAACTGTATTTAAAGGGCCAGAAGGTTGAGAATCACTGACCTAGCCTCTTAAGTGAAGCTATATCGACCACAAATGTCCACCCACATCCAAGGGAAGAAGACCTCTTGATGGGAGGAGTGTCAGAGAATTTGTTAACATACTTTTTAAATCCTTTACATAAAGTTGTGTTTTTTTTAAGGAAATAGTTCTTTGTTTATTCATTTTAAATAGCTTTACTGAGAGATATATAAGTCATATACCATACATTTCACTCATTTAAAGTGTACAATTCATTATTTTAATAAGTTCACAGGGTTATGTTAGCATCACTATGATCTAATTTTAGAACATTTTTATCCCTCACAAAAGAAACCCATACCCACTCCCCTTCTCTTCAGCCTCTGTAAACCACACTTTTACTTTCTATCTCTGTAGCTTTGCCTGCTTTGAGCATTTATAAATGGAATAATACAATATGTGGTATTTTGATACTGGCTTCTTTCAATTAGCATGTTTTTGAGATCATCCTACTGTAGCATGTATCAGTACTTTATTCCTTTTTATTGGTCAATAACATTCTATAGAATAGATATTTTATGCATTTATCCATTGATCAGTTGATAGGCATTCAGGTTGTTTCTACCTTTTTATTTTATTTTGTTGTTGTTAATCCTCACCCAAGGATGTTTTTTCCATTGATTTTCAGAAAGAGTAGAAGGGAGGGAGGGAGGAGAGAAGAGAGAAACATCAATGTGACAGAGACACATCAATAGGTTGCCTCCCCAACATGCCTCAACCGGGGTTGGGGATGGAATCTGAAGTTCAGGTACGTGCCCTTGATTGAAAATCAAACCAATGGCCCTTTGCTGCACAGGACAACGCTCAATCAACTGAGCCACTCCGGTTGGGCCAAACTGTTTTTCAAAGTGTCTGTATGATTTTACATTTCCACCAGCAGCATTACAATTTCTTCACTCATAAAATTTTGATAAAGGGGAAAAGCACAGGGAGTAGAAAGTGTGTGGAACTGGGTTTTAATTTGTATTCTGCACTCCACTTCACCTCACTGATAAAATAATTTAGCTTTTCTAGCCCCCATTTTCCTAAGATTCCTTTCAGTCCTGTAATTCTTTGAGCATCTCATGAGGGGAGGTAAGCATTGCTAGAAGCATTCAGGCAAATCTGGGTGAACAAAGGGAATGTGATAAGATATAAAATTAAATTAAGGTTAGATTAGTTGATAGTGGAGAATCCTTTCCAATTCTAAAATTTTATAATTCTATTTTGTGTTTATGTATTTAGTAACATGTGAGCTAATCCTATATAATAAAGAACTAATATGCTAATTAGACCAAACAGCAGAATGACTGTCCAGACGAAGCCGCGGCTGTGAGGGCCAAGCCCCTTGCACGAATTTTGTGCATCGGACCTCTAGTATAAATATAATACTTCATCTTCTCTCATCATCAGTGTATAAAGGTCAAGGTACTGGTATTTATTATTTCTGTAATTACGTGGCACTGATATTTACATTTGTGTGAAGTAACCTTTCAGTTACATAGTGACCCTGAAACTGACTTAGTGTTTAAATTTTAAGTAATTTGTTTATTTTAATTAAAGCATAATTTACATACCTTAAATTTATCCTTTTAAGTGAATAGTCAGTAATTAGCACCACAATCAAGATATAGAACAGTTCCATCATCCTCCTAAATATCCTCATGCTCCTTTGTAGTCAACCCTGCCTCCAGGCTCTGATCAGTTTGCTTTTGTCTTTTTGAGAATATCATATAAATGGAATCATAGAATATACTAGATGCCCGATGCACGAAATTCATGCAAGGGGCTTGGCCCCCACTGCTGCGGAGGCCGCCTCTGCCTCGGCCCCCGCCACTACGGCTTCGTCCAGAAGGTTGTCCGGAAGGACCTCCAGTCTAATTAGCATATTATGCTTTTATTATTATAGATAACCTTTGAGTCTGGCTTCTTTCACTTAGCATGATATGTTTAAGATTCATGCATGTATCAGGAGTTCCTTTTTATAGCTGAGTTGTATTTCACTGTATGGATGGTACCATGTTTGTTTATCCATTCACCAGTTGAAGGACATTTGGGTTGTTTCCAATTTTAGTACCTATAAATAAAGCTACCATAAATCTTTGCATACAGGTTTTTGAGTGAACATAAGTTTTCATTTCACTTGGGTGAATACCTAGAAGTGGGATTGCTGAGTCATATGGAAACTGTATATTAAACTTTTATAATAAACTGCCAAACTAGTTTCCGAAGTGGCTGTGCCATTTTGCATTCCCATCAGCAATGTATGAGAGATCCAGTTGCTCTTCCTCATTTGAACTTGGTATGTTCAGTTTTTAAAAAAACTTTTAGCCATTCTAATAGGAATCTAGTTTAATTTGCCTTTGTGGTTTAATTTGCATTTCCCAATAACTAGTGATTTTGAGCATTTTTCCATGTACTCATTTGCCATCCATATATTTCCTTTGGTGAAGTGTTTATTAAAATCTTTACCATTTTTACTGGGTTATTTGTTCTCTTTTTGTTGAGTTTTGAGAGTTTTTTTTATATATCCTAGATACAAGTCCCTTGTCATATAAAAATTTGCAAAAATTTTCCCAATTAGTGATTTGTCTTCTCTTAACAGTGTCTTTTGAAGAACATAAGTTTTCAATTTGATAAAAGTCCAATTATAAATTTTTTCCTTTTCGGATTGTGTTTTTGGTTTCACATCTAGGAAATCTTTACCTAAGGTTACAAAAATTTTTTCGCCTCTGTTTTCTGCTAGAAGTTTTACAGTTTTGGGTTTTATATGTAGGACTTATGATCCATCCTGAGTTAATTGTTATATATGGTGCAAGGTATGGGAGATACTTTTTATTTTTTACATATAGATGTCCAGTTGTTCCAGCACCAATTGTTGAAAAGACTATCTTTTCTTTATTGAATTGCCTTTGTCAATAAATATGTGTCTATTTTTGAACTCTTTATTCTGTGCCATTGATTTACACACCTAGTAAATATTGGTTTCTGTTTGAATACAGTTGTGTACTTAGGAGCCAGGCTGCCTAGGTCTGAGACTGAGCTCAAGCATTTACCCCATGACCTGGGGCAAGTTATTTAGCCTCTGGAGGCCTCAATTTTCTCATCTATAAAACAGAGATAATTATAGTACACAACCCTCATAGGGATTTTTATGAGGATTGAGTGAATAATTATAAAGCACTTAGAATGGTGGCTGGAACCTATATAGCGTTTCTTATACTCCTGGGTCTTATTTTGAACTTCTGTCATGACTGGATTTTCATTTAAATTAACAAATTCCATTATTTCATCTCAGATCATCATTATGGAAGTTTAACTGTGAGATGAATTTCAATGAAAATTTTATATCACTACTCAGTAAAAGATTAAGATGTTCACTTTTGTCTTCTGTTAGGGAAATAATGTTTAACTTAGTTTAGTAGCTGTATCAGGTGAATTCCAACTCCTGAAACATTTCTCTGATTTTGAAAGTATATCCATCACCTTTTACAGATCATAGTAAGAAATACAGCCTAAACTAACCTACTTCATAAGTGGCTCTTGTGAAAAAGGTAGTTTAAAACATGGCCTTTCCATGCTTGTGATTTTAGGCACTTTACTTGCAACATTATTATGGTACTAAGCTTAAGGTTGTTTATAACTTTTATTTTAAAGAACTTTGAGTAATTGTTCAAAAAGTACAGCAACATAAGTCCTAAATTTCTTCTTTATAGACCATATCGAGAGTCCAGATAATTTTATACTATAGAATTCTTTAGCTATAGGATTAATTTCTCTCCATGAACAAGAACTGAAGTGTCCAGAGAAATTTCTTAGAAGAATAGTAAATTACATTGAACTCCTCAGCATTGGCAGCTGTTATGGACTGAATGTTTCTGCCCCCACCCTCCAAATTCATATGAAGAAACCCTAACTCCCAGTGTGACTGCATTTGGAGATGAGGAAGTAATTAAGGTTAAATGAGGTCCTAAGGGTGGGGTCCTGATCTGATAGGATTAGTGTCCTTCTAAGAGACATCAGAGAACTTGCCCTGTACCCACCAAGGAAAGGCCATGTGAGGATATAGGAGGAAGGCAGTCATCTTCAAGCCAGGAAGAAATTTCTTACCAGAAACCAACCCTGATGGTACCTTGATCTTGGACTTTCCAGCCCCCAAAAATGTGAGAAATAAATTTCTGTTATCTGAGTTACCCAGTCTGTGTTATTTTGCTATAGCAGCCACACTTAGTTGGCTTGGGATACTAAAACAAAATACCATAGATTGGGTGGCTTAAACAACAGAAAATTTTCTCACAGTTCTAGAGGTTGGGAAGTCCAAGATCAAGATGCCAGTAGATCAAGTGTCTGGTGTCAAAGATTAAATACATCCTCATGCTACAGACCAGTGTTCCTTCTAACGCATTATGTAAAACAAGTACCACATTTATTGTGCAATATTGAGTAAATAACTTTAAGATAGTTTGCTAATGATTACAGTGATTAAATGATTGGATTTTTAGTACTGTATCTATGAGAGCCTGTTTCTGGTGCATGAATAGTTCTGCATAAAATTTATATACCCACAAAGAGGTAAAACAGTGCAAGTAGATTCGAAAGTAATTTGGAAAAATGCCCTTTTAGTGACTATATTTTGATAGGCCAGTTAAACTTTAAAAAAGGAATCTGACTGATTCCAGGCATACTATTTATAAAATTATGTGAGCTTTAGATTAGAGTATCTAACGATAGAAATGGTGGCATTTGAAAAATTACATTGTAGAAATAGCTCAATAAATGTTTGACTCAAACTTGTACCTTCAGGTTCTTCCATTTTCTGGAGTATATTGCAGAAATCAATCAGGGTTTAGAAACTAAGACCCATTCATTAATTTATGGAAGGATAGAGAAATATATTTCTATGTGGGTGCACTTCCAATTTCAGAAATTTTTTAAGAAGCAGAAGTTTTAAAAGTAAAGCATCAGAAAAAGAAAACGGGTCAGGCTGGGCTGGTGTGGCTCAGTGTTTGAAGTCAACCCATGGTCAGGGCACATGCCCGGGTTTGGGGCTCAATCCCCAGTAGGTGGCATGCAGGAGGCAGCTGATCAGTTATTCTCTCTCATCATTGATGTTTCTATCCCTCTGTCCCTCTCCCTTCCTCTCTCTGAAATCAATAAAAAAAAATTAAAGAAAAAGGTCAGAGCTGAAATATTCCTTAATATCATGCAGTATTCTGTGTGTATGTGTGAGAATTTCTTCAGTTGTTTCAAAAAAGTGTTTTTACAGTTGGTATGTTGAAACAGGATCCAAATACTGTCCACACATTGGTTGATATGTCCTTGAGTCTTCCTTTATCTATAAGTTTCCTCCTGTTTTTCCCTCATGCCTTTTGAAAAAAAATATTCTATTCATTTTCTAACTATTCTACAGTCAGTGAGAGTAGGAAGTATTATTTTAGCACTAAGAATTATGCCTGGCACCCAATAGACAACTAATATTTATTAAATGATGTTAATAATACTCAAGGTCTGTGTTTTGTCCCCGCAGGTTGATCCAAAAGACTACATGTTCAGTGGACTGAAGAATGAAACAGTGGGTCGCTTACCTGGGAAGGTGGCAGGACAACAGTTTCTCATTCAAGACTGTGAGAGCTGTAACATCTATATTTTTGATCACTCTGCTACAATTACTATTGATGACTGTACTAACTGCGTCATTTTTCTGGGACCTGTGAAAGGCAGTGTGTTTTTCCGCAATTGCAGAGATTGCAAGTGCGCACTGGCCTGCCAACAGTTTCGTGTGCGGGACTGTAGAAAGCTGGAAGTCTTTTTGTGCTGTGCCACGCAACCCATTATTGAGTCTTCCACAAATATCAAGTTTGGCTGTTTTCAATGGTACTACCCTGAATTAGCTTTCCAGTTCAAAGATGCAGGGCTAAGTATCTTCAATAATAACTGGAGTAATATCCATGACTTTACACCTGTGTCTGGAGAAGTCAACTGGAGCCTTCTTCCAGAAAATGCTGTTATTCACGACTATGTTCCTCTACCTACTACCAATGAGCTCCAAGCTGTCCGCATTTCCACAGAAGCCAATAGAAGTATCGTTCCGGTAACCCAGGGTCAGAGACAGAAGAACAGTGATGAATCATGCCTAGTGGTATTATTTGCTGGTGATTATACTATCGCAAATGCCATGAAACTAATTGATGAGGTAAGGAGAGAGAGAAGAGAGATGAACATACACCTGGTTAGAAACACACCACTTTGCAGAGAACTTTCATTCTTTTCAACCTGGCTATGAGAAATACAGATAATCCTTAAGTTATAGTCTTTTCTCCCCTACAGATTTATCTGTAAGCTGAATGTTTAGGTTTCAAAATACTTTCCCAAAGAAAATTTTTAAAAATATAATCCCATTCAGTAAGCATTTATTAAGCACGTATTACATGCAAGTTACTCTGTTACTATATTTCATTGATTATAGGATGCCCATTTGTTTTTGTACATTTTTGTTATCTGAAATGCATCTTACAATTGATGGCAACTTAGAGCTGTTGAAATATAGTATATGCTGGGGTTGGAGATACATTGACAAAATTCTCTGCCCTCAGAGAACTTCCATTCTTTATAATAAATGATTTCCACGGAAGTTCACAAAGTGTAGTACTGCATAGTAAAGCTTGACCTTTTATAATTATTTAGTGGGGAAATTTACTTCGAGTTTTAATTGGTCAGGAAGTGGGAAAGACATTTAGGAATACAACTTTCAGAGCCTGTTGTGACCATGAGAGCAACCTTTACATTACTTTCCTTTTTGTCCTTTGCCCTATTGCCATGAAGGAGAGGTTGGTGCAGAAGAATGAGGTGGGAGCTGGGATAGCAGAGGTCATGGGCTCATGAACAGGGGCTTTTGGTGAGTTTGTGGATAGAGAAAGGTTCTTTGGGTAGCAGCTTCCACTTGAAATATAACTGGGGCTGTAGAGGTTAGGGGCTCCAGAAGCAGCAGTTCCTGTGTTGATAGGTGCTCCTGTAGGGAGGCAGCGGCAGTATATCTGATTATCCATTCATCAGACATTCTTCAGGAGGAGTCTGTTTGAATTTAAAAAGTCAAACTTCCATGGAATGGAGAAGTGAATGGAAATATCAGCAAGTCTCTTTTGACTAGACTTTTTAAAGAGTTGTAACAGTTATGTCAAGAGGAACAATTTTAGGGAAAAAAACACTAAAAATGATGACCTTTTGTAGATATACAGTCTACAATGTAGAAAACTTATGTCTGAAATCTACAAAGTATGTCTGAGATCTAGTTTTCAAAACAACAGAAGCCAGAGTATAATTTTAAGACTGATATTTTATTTTTTTTATTATACCAATCTGATGAAAACATGCTATGAATCTGGTAAGATCTAGAAAAAGTGTTTCTAGCCTTTGAGTTATCTAATAACATGTTAATCCAACATCTGAGAGGAAAACCTTTTCATTATAATATATAGCAGTTTTTTAAAATCTACAAATACTCTCTCATCAATGTTTCTAACTCTCTATCCCTCTCCCTTCCTCTCTGTAAAAAATCAATAAAATATATATATATTTTAAAAAATAAAAAAATCTACAGATAGTTTTCAAAAGGTGTAATTATTCAGGTTAAATTCCTTTTTGGTAGGTAATGAGGAGTGGACATAAAGAATATATAGTACTAGAGGCCCAGTGCACGAATTTGTGCACGGGTGGGGTCCCGAGGTGGTGGAGGGAAGGGGATGCGATCAGCCCTCCGGGTGGGCGGTGGGATGCCCTTTCCAGCCCGGGATCCGGATCTGTCCTGCTGACATTTGCACCAGTTGTCGGGAGCCACCTGGCGGCCACTTTTATATTGTTTCTTCCTTGCGGAGTGTCTAGGGAGGGAAAGCAGCTGTGGTGCCTGAGGCCGACTTCCAGGAGGCCAGTGGCACTGTCGGGATCGTGCCTGCAGCACTGGTCCATCAGTGCCTGGCCCGTTCTCCGGAGATTGGACCTGCAGACTACTGAGGGAGTGAGTGGCTGCCACCAAGCTGGTGGGCCACCAGGACGGGTCAGTCAGCTGAGTGGCGCTCCTACTGTGGGAGTGCACTGACCACCAGGGGGCAGCTCCTGCATTGAGCATCTGCCCCCTGGTGGTCAGTGTGAGTCATAGCGACCGGTAGTTCCCGTTGTTCCAGTCATTTGGTCTTAACGGCCGCTTAGGCTTTTATTTATTTATTTATTTATTTGTTTGTTTGTTTGTTTGTTTATTTGTTTGTTTGTTTGTTTGTTTATATATATATATAAAATGTTTAAATAAAAAAGCCATCAAGCCCAGCCAGTGTGGCTCAGTGATTGAGTGTCGGCCCATGAACCAGGAGGTCACAGTTCAACTCCCAGTCAGGGCTCATGCCTGGGTTGTGGGCTCGATCCCCAGTAGGGAGAGGAGGCAGCCAATCTGTTTCTCTTGCTCCATCCCTCCCCTTCCTCTCTCTAAAATCAATAAAAATAGATTTTTTAAAAAGCCCTCAAAATAAACAATGTCTTCATGAGTCATCAGGTGTTCTTAACCTTTGTATCTGATGTGTAAAATGACAGTGTTGTGTGCCCTCAAAAGCAATATGACCAGTGAGGTTCTTTAGATATCCTTCTGGAATACAAAATAATTTAAAACAAACACATCTAATAAGAATGATAATAGCTAACATTTATATAGTGTTTACTATATATCGGGCACTATTGTAAGTGGTTTAACTCAATTCATAATAACCTATGAAATAGGTGTCATGGTTCCTTTTTTTACAGATAAGGGAAATGAGCCAGAGAGAGGGTACGTAACTTGCAAAAGTCACTCACATGGTAAATGCAGAGCCATTACTTAAGTCCAGGTAATGTGGCATTGTAGGCTGCATCTTAACCCTTAAGTCTGATGCTACTATGCCATCTCAGTTGTAAAGAAAAGTTGATAAATGCCTTGTGGAGCAGGAATGTGACCAAAAGTACATGGAGTCAGGACAGATACTGTCATCCAGCCTAGAAAGAAAAACCCTGGGACTTTTTTGGCTAGTTGTCCTACCTAATTTTGAAACCACAAAATTAAGGAATAAAAAGAGAACAAAAAGAAGGAAATGCCAAGTACATGTGAAGAGGGTATCAAAACGTGCTGGAAACCAGTGACTTAAGAGAGAGATTGCATTTTTTAAAAATTAGGCTCAAGTTCTTAGGAAAATATGTGTAGAAGCTAGTTAATTCTGAGATGGAAAAAATAAAGCGAGTCTTTTTTGTATTATAAAACAAATATCTTAGAACAGTCTTAGACTGGAACTGCTAACTCTGGTTTTGTTAAACCCTAGGAGTATCACAGAATTTTGTTTCAGTTATTTCTACAAATTAAACATGTCATAATGGTTTTTTTTCTTTTATAGATAGGAAGTATAAAACTTGAGAGGGTCCAGAAAAGCTGGGTAAAGCAAAAAACACCTTCCATAGGGAGTCAAGAGAAGTACTGGGCCTTGGTTATCTCACCTAAAAATCAGAGTTTCGCTGGCTGTTACTTAGATCACAGATATGCACAGGATAAATTAGAATAAATCTAATTTGAATTGTTTAGAAGTGTTACATAATTCAAGTTGGGTAGTTACCACTATTTTCAAGTCTCTAAAAGTAGAATAATTTTCATGAAAAAGAGTCTCTTCAAATATTTACAGTGAAATCATGTTTCAGAGTTCATTATTTGTTTTTAGGTAACGGTATTTTGAATTAGTCATCTTACTTTTGTCAGTTTATGTGTCTGACTATAAAATGAGAGGTAACGGGCAGTATAGAAAATTAGAAACAGATGTAGGATTGTTTTAAGTAATATTGCAGTCATCACCTGGCAGTGATGTCCATGTAATTTCTACTACTTTTTAATTTTTTTTTCCTGAGTTAGCATTGAGGGCTGTGAAAAAATAATTTGAGTTTGAATCCAATTTGATGGAATGGGAATAATGTAGTCATAGGATGAAATACTATTAATCATTAAAACTGATTTTATAGAATAACTGGAAAATGTTCACAGTTATGTGGAAAAGTTGTAGATTATATAATTATCTGATCTATTTTAAGTAGGTAAGTCTCAAAAGTTATAGATACTAAAACATTAACAGTTATGGTTATTCTTAGGAAGTGAATTAAGCAAAAGGTATTTTCATTTTTGTAGTTCTATGGATCTTGCAATGAACATGTATTATTTCTGTAATGGGGGAAAGTAAACTTGGGAGGGTAAAAGGAAGTATGCAAAGGAAGTATGCCAATATGGCAGTGACGTCTTTGAGTATGCATCTTGGTTGATGTTTTTTTTTTTCCAAATGTTCTTTATTGAGCATATATGTTACTTTCATATTAAAAACCCAGTACACTTTGCTAAAAACTGAAGTGGTTGAATGACTGCATTTTAAAAACTAATAATTATTTTTAAAATTAATATGCACTCATTGAAGAAAACTATAGAAATAAAGAAGAGTAGAAATATGTTTAAAAATCATAATGTACTTACTGTACTTTGAATAGTCTTTTAAAGAATATTCTTTTTAAGAACAATCTTTTTTATTTAGCCTGTAATCAGATTAATTGGTTTTTAAATATATATGTGTTTTTATTTTTGACAATATTACAGATGTCCCACATTTTCCCCTGCTTCACCTCCCTCCACCCAGCCCCTATAACCCCCTTCCAGGCCTTCACCACACTATTATCTGTGTCCATGGTCTTTGCATACAAGTATATAAGTTCTTTGGTTAACCTCTTCCCACTCCCCACTCACCCAGATATGTTAGTCTGTTCCATGCCTCAGGACTTATTTTGTTGGTCAAATTATTTTGTTTATTAGATTCCACAAATAAGTGATATCATGTGATATTTGTCTTCTCTGACTGGCTTATTTCACTTGGCATAATAAATTTCAGGTCCATCCATACTGTTGCAAAGAGTAAGAGATCCTTCTTTTATACAGCTGCATAGTATTTAAGTAATTAGATTTTAAAAAAATGTTTTTATTGATTTCAGAGAGGAAAAGAGAGGGAGAGATAGAAACATCAATGATGAGAGAGAATCATTGATCGGCTGCCTCCTGCATGCCCGCTACTGGGCATTGAGCCTGCAACCTGGGCATGTGCCTTGACCAGGAATTGAACCGTGACCTCCTGGTTTATGGGCCAGTGCTCAACTACTGAGCAACACCAGCTGGGCTCAATCAATTGGGTTTTAATCATAACTCTGTTACTTAATAGTTGTGTGATCTTGGGCAGGTTTCTTAACCACTCTGTGCCTTAGTTTTCTTATCTGTAAAATGAGGATAATAATAGTACCTAAAGTGCATAAAATGCCTGGTACAGAGTAAGTACTCCATAAATATAATCTATCATTATTGTGCTATATTCTATAAATTTGTATCATGTTTTTAAAAATTAACATTGTTATACAAGCTTTTCCCCATTTTATTATTTGTTATGTTTAATGAACTATGGTATTTTATCATGTCAATGCACCATAATTTACTTAACCGTTCTCCTTTCATTATCACAAAACTAAGGTTTCCATCTATTCATTTCAGTCAAAAAATTTTTAATTATATTTAAAACCCTTTGCGGTCCAATTTTATTTTTGGAATTCAAACAGTCTGGTCCAAATTAATTGACGGGATTGAATGTTGAACCAGTTTGCGGTGTCGACCTCAGCCTCGACGTTGGACCTGCTCCTGGCGTCTGGTCTGTCGAGTCAGCCTCGACGTTGGACCGAAAAGGGTTAAAATTTTGAGGGATCATTCACATTTGTTTGATCCTTAATCTTAGCAGTAGGCATTGTGTATCAGTTCTTAAGCAGAACCACCCATCTGGAAGAAGGAATCTTGTATATGTGAAAACCTGTTATAGCAAACACCCCAAGTTAGAGTTATAACTAAAACAAAATTCAGCATACTGTGTCATATTTTATACAGAAATGTACTAGGAAATATTGTTTTAATCTCAGAAGGTCATTTTAAAATCTAAGTGAAATTCTGTTTTCCACAGATGGTTCATTTAGGTTTTTTCCTGATGCAGACAAAGGAAGTATCCATGAAAGCTGAGGATGCTCAGAGGGTTTTTCGGGAAAGAGCACCTGAATTCCTTCAACTTCTGAACAAAGGTACCTTCTGGCTGATTGGTACACTTTTGTGCTTATCCTCTTGAGATGCTGATTTGGTTTACTCTGGCCTCTTACATTGCCTTCTCTTTCTCACTTGTTTTGTGTTTTTTCCTACTACTATTCAGAAATGTCAAAATTTCACATCATTTAAAAAAACCTATATGATAATTAGAAATCAGACATTACATTTTTTTCCTATTCTATTGCCTTAGTTCTGAAAAATCACATTTATTATGTTTTATTATTTTTTATTATTTTATTATTGTATTATTATACTGTCCAGAATTACAAAGCACTTGATAAGGATTCTTTCTGTCTTCAGTGTGCTTTGACCATACATGAAAAGTAAGAAATATAAATAAAATGGTATAGTATTTTATGTAGTTGATATGACTGATTAATTTCCCATGCAAAAATAGGATTGTTTTCCCCAGCGGGCAAATGCTACCAGTACATTTCAGATATTGAAAATATGTCTGCAAAAAGAGGATCTAGAGTTAGTGTGACCTTCTGAAGGGTTGCTGTCTGCCTATATGTATTGAAGGTGTGCTGATTCTGGAGGACAGAGTACTGTTCTTCTTTGAGATGGGAACATTGTTTGCTTAAGGCCCTTAAGTATGATAATGATATTGTGGTTATGTAGGCAATGCATGCTGATGTGTTATGATATCTGTTGTTTTCAAATGGCTCAGCAAAACAAAATCGAAGTGTGTGTGCTCATGCACGTGTAGCATATGATAAAGCAAATCAATATATAACCTTATTGTATGTGTGTCTGTTTAAAGACACCTTTTAGTATGTATTATTGATTCATTAGCATTGAACTTAGAGCCAGCAGCACTATAACTCGGGCCTATATGAAGCTTCCCTAACAGCTATTTTCTCTGTAAAACATATCACAGTCTTTCTAAACTTAGGAACATTATACAGCACTTCAGCACTATGTTTGTGGGCCATTTAAAATAGCAAAATCACAACAAAAAGAACAAAATGTGGAAAATGTGCCACTAAATAGACTATGAAAAGGACACTTGTTTACAGAATGAATGCTGAAACAAGAAGGCAGAGCATCACTTTGTTCATTTTCACCTGGGACCATGCATGTCAGGCAACTTTTTTATGCCACTCTGAGTGTCCGCAAATGACCATGAAGAAACTTTTATTGATTTTGGGGTCACAAATTTTTCCAGGTAAGCAGATTCACAAATAAAGCATTCACAAATAATGAGGATCAACTGTATATGTATTTCATGTTAAAAATTTTCCTTTAAGCACTGCTTTAAGCATCCTGCAAATTTTGATCTGATGTATTTTCATTTAATTCAGGGTTTGGCAAAATATGGCCTCCTGTATGTTTCATAAATGAAGTTTTATTTGGAGCACAGCCACACTCATTATTGTATCTACTAGAGGCCCAGTGCTTGAAATTCATGCACCCAGGGGGTGTCCCTCAGCCCAGCCTGCGCCCTCTCACAGTCCAGGAGCCCTCAGGGGATGTCCAACTGCCACAGAGGCAAGAGGCACTCCCGCCACCACTGCTGCGCTTGCCAGCTGTGACCCCAGCTTCTGGCTGAGCAGCACTCCCCCTGTGGGAGCACACTGACCACCAGGGGGAAGTTCCTGCGTTTAGTGTCTGCCCCCTGGTGGTCAGTGCACATCATAGCAACCAGTTGTTCTGCCGTTTGGTCAATTTGCATATTAGGGTTTTATTATATAGGATTGTTTTGTTGATTTCCTACCTGGTCCTTTATAGAAAAAGTATATTGACCTCCCCCCCCCATGTAGTTCAGAATATTTTTTAGTTTCCCTTGAGACTTTTCACTTAATCCATGGATTATTTAGAAGTGTATTGTTTAATTTCTAAACATTTGGAGATTGTCCAGATGTGTTTCTGTAATAGATTTGTAGATTGTTATTATGGTCTGAAAATACACATTGTATAATTTCTATTTTCTTTACTTAAGGTTTGTTTTGTAGTACAAATTATAGTGTATCTTGGCGAATATTCCATATACATGTGAGGAGAATGTATAATCTGCTTTTGTTGGGCCTCTATAGAGGCCCACTAGGCCAATTTGGTTGATAGTGTTATTCAGGTCATCTATATCCTTACTGATTTTCTGCTTACTTGTTCTATGAATTAAAGAGAGAGGAGTGTCAAACTCTCCAACTATCATTGTGGATTTGTCCATTTCTCTTTTCAGATCCTATCAGGTTTTGCTGTGAAACTTTGTTGTTAGATGCATACACATTTAGGATTGTTATGTCTTCTTGGAGAGTCCTTTATGATTATGTAATGTCCCTTTTTGTCTCTGATAATCTTCCTTGTTCTGAAATCTACTTTGCCTGATATATATAGCTACTCCCGCTTTTGTTTGGTTGTTAGTGTTTCATCATATACTAGAGGCCCGGTGCACGAATTTGTGCACCAGTGGGGTCCCTTGGCCTGGCCTGCAGGATCAGGCCAAAACCAGCTCTCCAACATCCCCCAAGGGGTCCTGGAAGGTAAGCCAGCCGGGGAGGGACCACAGGAGGGCCTCAGGGCGTGTCTGGCCCATCTCGCTCAGTCCTGATCGGCTGGATCCCAGCAGCAAGCTAACCTACCAGTCGGAGCGTCTGCCCCCTGGTAGACAGTGCACGTCATAGCCAGTGGTTGAGCAGCCTTAGTATATCATGGCATATTACGCTTTGATTGGTTGAACAGATGACCGGACACTTAGCATATTAGGCTTTTATTATATAGGATCTTTATCTCTTTTCTTTTAACTTATCAAAGTCTATATACCTAAAGTAAATTTTTTATAGACAGCATATAGTTGGTTCTTGCTTTTTAATCCTATCTGACAGTCACTCTTTTAACTGGTATATTTACACCATTCACATTGAAAGGGATTGATATAGTTGGATCGACATCTACCATCTTGCTAGCTGCTTTCTGTTCCATTTATCCTTTGTTTCTTTTTACCTCTTTTTGTTTAATTGGCCGTTTTTTTATAACTCCATTTTATCTCTATTGACTTATTGTTTATACCTTTTATATAATGGTTGCCTTAGGTTTTACAACATATATATTTGAGTCCACCTTATAGTAATATTATACCACTTCACCTATAATATACACTGAGTGGCCAGATTATTATGATCAGCCAGATTATTATGACCACCCCATCAGTACTTCATTGGGTCACCTTTTGCCTTCAGTATTGTGGTGATTCTTCTTGGCATTGACTCCACGAGATGTTGAAAGGTGATGCAATGAATCTGACACCATGCCTGATGAATAGCACTGTCCAGTTCTGTGAGATTGGATGGTTGTGGAACCAGCTGCCTGATGGCTCTTTTAACTTTGTCCCACAAATGCTCAATTGGATTGAGATCTGGTGATTGTGGGGGCCACCTAAGCAAGGTAAAGTCTCCCTCATGTTCTTGAAACCACTCCTGCACAATACAAGCACCGTGGCATGGTGCACTGTCTTGTTGGAAGAAGCCATCTCCATTGGGATACGCCATCAACATGATAGGATGAACTTGATCAGCAACGATACTTAGGTATGTTGTGCTATTCAGACGTTTATAATGGTCTGGCCCTCTAGCAACTTCAGCGCAAAATTATAGCTAATTTGCCTACAAACGTCGGGTGGTCATAATAATCTGGCCACTCTGTGTATAAGGTCCTAATAACATTATATACTCAAATCTTTCCTCCCATCCCTGTATCATTATTACATATCTTACTGTTGCATATGCTACAAATATCTAATACACTGTTAATGTTATTTAAACTCAGTTATTTTTAAACGAATTAAAAATAATAAAAATATAGATAATATTTTACTGGAGGCTTTAGAGCAGAAGAATGTCATGGTCCCTTTAAAATGTAACTTTTATCATTCTGCTTGCTCTAAGGGGGAAGCAGAGAGCCATCTGGAGGCTGTTGCTGTAATCTAATTGAGACATGGTAGTGGCTTGTTCCAAGGTCATGTTAGATTACACAGAAGACTTTATTAGATAGGGCATTCAGGAATCTTTTTTGTTTACTTCAAAGTCTCACAATCTTTTTGACAGTTCAAATATTTAGATTTCAAGCTTCTGCGAACTATTTGATAAGACGTTCACATTAAAACATTAAAAGCATGACTAATGATCCTTGTTGACCTCATAGTTCAGTTTGAAATAAACACTGAAATTGTAGTTATCATTATTAGATAGAAAGACAAATAGGGCTTCTTAAAGAGTACATTGTCAGCATTGTAGTTTTTTAGTTTAGGATTGTCCATACATATTAATCAAAATTGATGCACTTGTCTACCTTTTTTGTTAGTGATTGCTTGTTGACAAATTATTAGGTCGCTTACCAGAAGCTCATAATATTCTATTCAAAAAAATATCAACCAAGTTTCACATTTGGGTAATTCTACCAAAATTGGATTTCTGAATTCTGGATTATGTTGTCTTTGCAGAATGCAGGTACTTTCAGTAATAAATGTCTGACTTTTCAAAATATATCTACTGTATATCCTTGTACTGATCCTGACTAAAAGCATACTGTATTCTACCTTAATTCAAACTTTCCACTTTCTGCAAAACTGGAAACGCTGCATTTATAATCAACTTTTTCTTTTCTCAGTATTTATTTTGTTTAAAATGCTTTTTAAGTCCTTTTGCAAATTTACAAATGTACTATCTCTATTCAGAAGTACAGAGTACAATGCCTCATGTGTGCCCATCCCATTTATCAACTTTTTGCCATTCTTGAAAAAATAATTTATATTCTTTTTGCTGAAATATTTTAATCAAATTTTAATGTCTTGTCATTTCACCCCTACATATTAGTGTGTGTCTTCTTAAACAAAATTAAAAACAGGTGTTTTCTTAAGTAATCACAATATATTATGACATCTATTTCTTGCCTCAGGAGTTGCAAAATGATCATTTTCTAATCATGTCACTACCTCTATATTTAATAATGGATGTTAACAGAACTTCTTGTACAGAAGAACTGTTTGGTTAATTTGAAATATGCTTCATGATTAACAATTCCTTAATCTCATCGAATAACCAGTCCATATCCAAATTTCCCTAATTGTCTAAAAACATTCTTTATGTATTCTTTAAAATACTTTTATTGATTTCAGAGAGGAAGGTAGAGAGAGAAAGAGAGAGAGAGAAACATCAACGATGAGAGAGAATCATTAATCAGCTGTCTCCTGCACACCCCCTACTGGGGATCAAGCCCCCAACCCAGGCATGTGCCCTGACCGGGAATCAAACTGTGACCTCCTGGTTCATAGGTCAACGCTCAACCACTGAGCTATGTCGGCTGGGTTCTTTATGTATTTTTATAGTTAATGTGATCCAGATCTAAAATTGTCCCACTCACTGTATGTCATTTTTTGTATCACTCTTAATGAGAAACGGGTGTCTCCCTCTCCCCCCCTTTTTTGTCTTGTAAAAGAAACCTGGTCATTTGTCCTGTGTGCCTGGGTGTGTTTAATTTGTTCCTCTACAGTTCTTGTAGACTATAAGTTAGATCAAAGCCTTGTTTACACTCACGTTTAGGGGTTCTTTTGGGCAAGAATATTTCACAGGTGGTACTGTTTCCTATATCATTACATGAGAGGGCACTTAACTTGATTATTGCACTTTTAGTGATACTAGAATTGATTAAGTTCAGCTGCTGACAATCTTCTTTTTGAAGTTTCTTATCACTCTTCCCTGTGGGATGCTAAAAACATTGATGATTGTTGCCTGATTCAATTATTTTATTAGGAGTTGCAAAATGATCATTTTCTAATCATGTCACTACCTCTATATTTAATAATGGATGTTAACAGAACTTCTTGTACAGAAGAACTGTTTGGTTAATTTGAAATATGCTTCATATCAGAAAAGCAGAATAAATAAAGGGAAAATAATTAAGCATTAATTTTCAAAGTAATAATTTGGTGCCCTAGCAACCTATAGTAGTATCCAATGAATTTTCTTTGTTTCTCTCTTTTCTAAATATCATTAGTAGCTCATGAATTTTTATGTATTCAGTATGTTTTAATAAATTGCAGTCATTATTCCTTCTGATCTCACCGAGGCTCATCTTTGGCCATTTGGAGCTCCTTCAAGCTGGCTCCTGTGTCCTCTTGATACAACCCCATTGGCCTTCGATAGCCTCATTGCTTTTTGGCTCAACAAGATATTCCTAGTTGATCTTACCCATTTCTTGCCTCAGACACAGAATCGTCCATTTTTCTGAGTTACCTTCTTTTCTTTACTCAGCACCTGTCTTCATCTACACTCTGTGATGCTGAAAAACCCACACTTTAATTTGTTCTCTGTATCTAATTGTATAGTTGACTGTCTATATAGCCTACCTTTTCTGTATTTGTTGTCTATGTTAAATCACAGGCCCTCAGTGATTTTAGTTATTTAGTGAGATCTTTTCCCTCATTCATATACCTTGCCCTGTGGTACATGCCTACATTCATCTTAGCATTTCATTACTTAGTACTTCATCATTTTCTGTTGTTCTGTATTTGTTTAATGGTGTGTTTTTTTTTCAAGAAATGTGTAATTTCATGGAGGTCAGGACTTCTCCATTACTGTAGGAGATAAAAAGCAAATCTATTAAGAATACAGTGATAGCTGAATAAAAATTGAATTGAAGGGCATATTTTGCTTGGCTGACTTGTGGCCATGTTTGCAACAGTTTGACACTGGGTAGTGCCAATGCTACATTTAAATCCAGAAATTAAAGTACAGGTGGTTTAAAAGTATATAAATTAATGTATGGGAGAGGAAGCATAAATATTTTCAGAGAATTAAAAAAATGAACACTTGGTCATTGGATCTAGAATGTAGTTTTAAGGCTCACTCAAGAAATATATTTCACATAGTCATTACTTTTGGTGCCTGGCCTCAATTCCTACTTGGCTTAGCTTCATTATTGGTGGCCCAGAACTTGGCTGGTAAGTAGGAGAGTTGGAAGCAAGGCTGGCTGCCTGGCAAAACTTACTTATGTTGACTTGAATTGCTTTTGATCTTTTCTGTCATTTGTCAACTGCTTTTTGTACTGCTAAATGGGTGAGCTTTTAATGGTTTTTATAGATGAATGAAAACTAGAAAAGCCAGACTATTCACAACACTTAATGTGATAGTCCACCCTGGCTCAATTGGTTGGATTATCGTCGTCCCACCCACCAAAAGGTTGCAGGTTTGATTCCAGATCAGGGCACATACCCAAGTTGCAAGTCTGGCTCGTATAGGGAGGCAACCAATCAATATTTCTCTCTCTCTCTCTGGCTCGTATGGGGATGCAACTGATCGATGGATCAATGTTTCTCTCTCTCTCTCTCTCTCTCTCCCCTCTCCCTCCCTCCCTTCTTCTCTCCAAAATCAATTTAAAATGTTATAGTCCTATAGTAGCACTGAAGCTACCCATCATGTGATGAGACTCTATGTTAATTTGTACTATAATTAGAGTAGGAAGAAGTAGCTGAAGTGACATTCCATCTATCTACTTCCTTCTTCCTTTTCTTTTACTTCCAAAGAAGCTAGAGATTCTTCAGGGAAGTACAAAAAGAATAATTTTAGAATAGATTTGTATTCTTGATAAGACAACACTTCTTCGGTTTGCTTATAGGTCCTGTTATTGCCTTGGAGTTTAATGGAGATCGTGTTGTAGAAGATTGTCAAAATGTTGTCAACGAGATATTCAAGAGCACCAAGGTACAAGATTTCATTGACTGTATTTCTTCTTTTTTAGCCCCATCCTGAGCTGAGTTCAGCATGACTCAGTACTGCTGTTCTTCTGGCCACTGGCCCTGACATCCCTTGAAGACCCCAGATACTTGCCTAGGCCCGCATTCCCCTGGTGAGAGGGCACCCTGCTTAGAGTGGCTCTACTGCCAAGCAGGCCCTGACCTCTTCCCTGATACTTCAACCTGCTGGCAGCCTCCATTAGGGCATTTACATAGGGTCAAGTTCCTGTCCTTTACCCCCACAATAACAGAGTTCTCCTTGAAGGCTGTCCTTGTTTGAGCCAGCTCCTCCTCACAAACCCCGGCCTGGACCTGGCACACTTTAAAAAAAAAAAGTACTTTGATCAAAAACAGACATCCCATCCACAGGATCCCAGAATCCAGGGCTTTTCTTTGTGACCTCGAAGGAGCACATGTCAGGCAAGGTGGGGACAACTTCAGAGAGACTGTTTCAGAATCAGAGAGAATTTCCAGCATCTCTGGCTGCTTTCAAATCAGTCTCAAGGAAATTCAGCTTCAGAGAGACCCCAAAGCCTCACGTGTGTCATCTCACCTGTCCTCCAAGAAAAACAGTGGTCCCCTGAAATAGCCCCAAGGTATTCCAAGGGTCCCAGACTCCTTCTCAAGGGCTCTCCAAGACCCTCTACCTCTAACAAAAGCCCCTAGTAGGCTTCTAGAAACATCCTTCTCCCCCACTCCTAGGGGTGAACCCCAAGACTCTAGAACAACTGCCTTTTTAATCTTGAAAATCACCTCAAGGGCCTAAAGACCTCCCCCAGGAAGTTTCCAGAAAAATAGAGACTTCCATTGTGAACGGCAAGGCTACAGAAATGCCCCCACCTTTGAGGGAACGCCAGAGCTCCCCTCCAACCCATCTTCCAGAGAGATCTCCAAGGTTCCAGAAATATCTCACTGTCTTCCAAACTTCCCAATGATCTGGGACCTCCTCATCTACCAAAGCAAAACCTAGTAATCCAGAGGCCTCTGCACCTATAAGGAACCCCCAGGGCTCCAAAAAAGTCCATACTCAGACAACCTCAGAATCCAACCTGCTCCTGAGATACCTCCAGGACCCTAAGATCATTATTTTACAGGGCTCCCAGTGTCCCCATTAATCTTCCACATGCCAGGGAGACCCCCAGAATCCCTTGACTACCCAGAATCAGCCCTAGACCCTTGTATCTCCCGAACCCTCCCCCCACCTCCTAATTCCCCATTTCACAATAGCCTTAGAGCTACAGACAACTACAGGCACACGTGACTTCCCCACCTCCTAGGCAGGGTTCTGGGACCGACCAGTATTTATATTTCAATCAAACCTTTTCATTTCCTTTTCCTTACAATCAAATCGTACTTTTTAGCCCTAGTGTTGTATGGAATTTTTAAAAAGCAGATCATGATTTTTAGAACCTGCAATAAATAATTGGAAGCTAAGCTTTGGTTTTTCCTTGCCAAACTAAAACATTAACTGCTTACACACTTATAAAATAAGAATGTACTTATTAAAAACCATCAATAATACTTGTTTCTAAAGTGAAAAGTCTCATCAAAAGCATCTTCAAGTCCTTTTTTAAAAAATATTGAATGATATACAGATGGTTTGACTTAATGACTTTTAGACTTTAAGTGATAGGCATTCAGTAGGTACCATACTTCTAGAGATATACTTTACCTTACTTTCTCGTAAGCTAGATGCTGTAGGGAGTCACAGCTCCCAGTCAGCCCTGCCATCACAAGGGTAAACAACCAATACTCTACAGTGTGTATTCATTGTGTTAGGTTACTTTGTCCAACTGTAGGCTAATGTACGTGTTCTGAACACGTTTAAGATAGGTAGGCTAAGTTATGATGTTCGGTAGGTTAAGTGGATTAAATGCATTTTCAACTTACGCTATTTTTTAAAAATACAATAACCATTTTTTTGCTCACAATTTTTTAAAATGTTTTTACTAATTTTAGAGAGAGGAAGGGAAAGGGATAGAAACATCAATGATGAGAATCATTGATCATCTGCCTCCTGCACGCCCCCTACTGGGGATCCAGCCTGAAACCAGGCATGTGCCCTGCTGGGGAATGGAACCGGGCCCTTCTGATTCATGGATCAATGCTCAACTACTGAACCACACTGGCCGGGCAACTTATGCTATTTTTAACTTATGATGAGCTTATCTGTATTTCTAACATTATATACTTTATACCAGGAGTGGGGAACGTCCGGCCCTTGGGCCATATCAGGCCCATGAAATCATTTGGCCTGGCCCTGCCAAGACATTAGGGGTGAATTAAATGTTTGACCAAATACAACAGGCTAATTTTTAAGTTGATAATTTTGTCTGGCCCAAGAATGATGTTAGAAATATCCAAATCGTCCTTGGCAGGAAAAATTTTCCCTACCCCTGCTTTAGACAGATGATCCCATTGCCCAGTGTTCATTTTTATTTGTTTCAGTAATGCTTCCTCAAAAATTGAACTGGAGCTTTATCTAGAAATCATTACAAATAGGTATTTTCTAGATATGTTGATGAAGTTGTGTATTTAAGAATTTCAGACTTAATGTAACTTAAAAAAACAAACATGTAAAAGGATTAAATGAGTATATATGTAACTGATTATTTTTTATAAATATACTAGAGGCCCAGTGCACGAATTCATGCACCAGTGGAGTCCCTCAGCCTGGCCTATGGGATCTGGCCGAAACCGGCTCTCAGACATCCCCCAAGGGGTCCCCAATTGTGAAAGGGTGTAGGCCAGGCCAAGGGACCCCACTGGTGCATGATCAGAGATGCAGGAGGTGGGCCAGCCAGGAAGGGACCACGAGAGGGCTCCAGGGCATGTCTGGCCCATCTCGCTCAGTCCCAATTGGCCAGACCCCAGCAGCAAGCTAACCTACAGGTTAGAGTGTCTGCCCCCTGGTGGTCAGTGCATGTCATAGCGAGTGGTTGAACGGCTAACTGGTCGACTGGACACTTAGCATATTAGGCTTTTATTATATAGGATGAGAGGAAATTTGGGGGTTTTGTAGTCTGATTCGGCTTATGATTCCTTGAATTTGCATAATTTAAAATATTTTGTCTTTTACCTCATTTTATCATCACATACTATTAAGGTTGGGGCAAATATAATGAGCTTGAATAAAAAAGGAAAAAGAGAAAATGGTTTTATGACTTGTTTTTAGATCTGAATGAGTTAAAGATCTAATCCAACTTTCTCATTTTACAGATGTGGAAACAGCCCAGAGAGGTTTAGTAAATTTTCAGCATCATACAGCTAGTTTATGATAAAGCTAGAATGGAACTCAGGTCTCTTCTGTTTCCTGGCTGACATTTGTAAAAGCTTTTTTTTAAAAGGATTCTATTGAGTACTGCTTTATTGTTGTTCAGAAAGTAGTTCATTTTAAATTGGTAATGTATCTTTAGCAGCTTTAAAAAAAGATAATCTCAAGTTTTGCTTCTCAGCCTATTGAAATTATTTATAGAAAATAAAAAAAACTAAAAGTTCTTTAAATACAACTCTATTCAATAGCTTTCATAATGAGTGTTGTATATTTTAAAACAGTAAAATCCCAAGTGTAATAAAATACAAGTGAAGTATTATGAAAGCAAAGACCTTAATTACATCATAAGTGCTTTTAAAGGAGCTTAATTTACATTATAGTTACTGAAACTATTTTGCATGGATTCTACAGAAAATCTACACATTAAATATTGTAAATGATGTGCTTGAATTTATTTTAAATAGCAAGCTTATGACTTTGTTCTGTGGAGAACATGGGCTTTGGAATTTGGGGATTACTAGTATTTATTTTTGTTTCTTTTATATTTAAAATAGACGTTTGTATCACAAAACAAGGAGACAGCATCTAGAGATATAGACGGCTTCTACAACTTTGCTGATATACAGATGGGAATATGAAGTGCACCGTGGAACCAGGGACTTGGAATTAAAGCCCTTCTCAACTTGTATATTACCAACGGCTTTTACTAAGGCTAACATTGTTAAAGTTGATTCTTCAATAAATTATTAAATACTGCATCATTTACTTGAGGTTCAAAAATAGTTCATTTTAAATTAAGCTGTTGTTTTGTTTTTTTAAGAATTTGGTCCTTCACTGGACCTGATTTTATTTTTCTATTTTTTTAAGTATGTTTTTATTGATTTTTAGAGAGAGAAGGAGGTAGAGGGATAGATAGAAACATCGATCGGCTGCCTCCTACATGCCCCCTACTGAGGATGGAGCCCACAACCCGGGCATGTGCCCTGACCGGAATCGAACAGTGTCCTCCTGGTTCATAGATCGGTGCTCAACCACTGAGCAACACAGGCCAGGCTTAAATGAAGTAGCTTTAATCAGCTTAAAAACTAACCCACTTCAATAAACTTGCAGTTTTGATTCTCTGCATATGATACTGTTATTAGAAAATAGAAGTGGCTAACAGTTCGTTTTAATCCTAAATGTTCTCTCAAATCTCTAATAATTTAAACTTTCCTCGGTGTTCCATGATATTTGTTTGAGAATACATTCCATTGCTTATTTTCTTTTTTAATTTAGAGGGATTTGTTACTAGTTGATCAATTAGAATGAACCTATGTGCATTTTTTCATGTACACATATCCAGTTAAAGAATTGCTTCCAAGTTGCTTAATATGGCAAATGAGAGTCTGTACACAAACTTGACATACTCATAAATTGAATTTTTAAATTAATAGGTATTTGATAACTGGTTTTGCAAGTAACTCTACTAACTGATGTTGGTAAAGCTGTTTAAAGACTACTTTGTGAGTAGTATGACTATTTGAATAATTTCCACTCTGTTCAGTTTTTTACTATAATTGCTAGATGACTCTTCTGCTTTCTGGTAAGAAAAGATATATGCAACACTAAGACTGTAGGAGCCCAATCACCAGCAGTTTTCAAAAAGATGATTACTGTTTTATCAGCTCTTGTGAGATATTAGTAGAATTGGAATAAAACCTTGTGATATTCAGGTAAGACATACTTAGGTATGATGATAAGCTATATAGATTAAAAAGCTAGATAAATTTGATTTTCATTAAATATGCCACTCATAGCAAGTAATGTTCAAGCATGATAAAAATTATTTGGTTGCTTTAAAGCATTATTCTCCAAATCAACCTACCTAATAATTTGCCAGGAGGCAGGGGATACTTGTTTAAAAGTCCAGTTGTTGGAACCAATCCCCAGATGCACCGATTCAGTCTCCAGGGGAAACTCTGTTTTAAGGGGTTTATTGTAATTTGAAGTAATCAGTTCAGAAGATATTGAGAGGTTGATCTTGTGTAAAGTGACTGAACCTACCACCCACGTCTCATATAGCAGCTAATAGGAAATAAACTTTTATAGGTCTATTTTTTAAAAGAACCTTAAATTTAATTCTATTTTGATAAAACTAAAACTGAAAATAGCCACTTGTAAAATTTCCTCTTATTGTTACTAAAAATGTATTTTCATGTTTAAACTGTTTTTTGGATATTTTCATATTAATTTATAACTGCTACATTGAATTGTGTATTGATGTCCAGAAATAATACATTAAAAGACTTTTCACTTTAAATTAGTAATATTGAGTCCTTACCCTGTGCCTGGCCTTGTGCTAACCATTAGCATTGCAATATTTCAATCTTTTTCTTAAGTTTATCTTTATTTTTGAAAGTATTACAAATGTCCCCTTTTACCCCCACCCCGAATTCCCCCAGGCCTACAATATTGTCTGTGTCCGTAGGTTATACATATATGCATATAAGTTCTTTGGTTAATCTCTTCCTCCCCACCCCTCCCCACTTCCTTCTGAGATTCATCAGTCTGTTCCATGCCTCCAGGTCTCTGGATCTATTTTGTTTGTCAGTTTATTTTGTTCATTAGATTCCACATATAAGTGAGGTCATGTGATACTTGTCTGGCTAGCTTATTTCGCTTAGCATAATACCCTTCAGGTTCTTCCATGCTGTCTCAAAGGGTAAGAGACCCTTCTTTTCACAGCTGCATAGTATTCCATGGTATAAATGTACCACAGCTTTTTTTATCCACTCATCTACTGATGGCCACTTGGGCTGTTTCCAGATCTTAACTATTCTAAATTGTGCTGCTATGAACATAGGAATGCATACATTCTTTCTGATTAGTGTTTCGGGATTCTTAGGATATATTCCTAGAAGTGGAATGCAATTCTATTTTTAATTGTTTGGGAAACTCCATACTGTTTTCCATAGAGGCTGCACCAGTCTGCATTCCCACCAGCAGTGAACTAGGGTTCCCTTTTCTCCACATTTTGGCCAGCACTTGTTGTTTGTTGATTTATTGATGATAGCCATTCTGGCAGGTGCGAGGCAATACCTCATTGTTGTTTTAATTTGCATCTCTCTGATGGTTAGTGACTTTGAGCATGTTTTCATGTCTCTTGGCCTTCTGTAGGTCTTTGGAGAAGTGTCTATTTAGGTCCTTTGCCCATTTTTGAATTGGATTGTCTTCCTTTGTTAAGTTGTATGAGTTCCTTATATATTTTGGAAATTAAGCCTTATTGGATATATCATTGGCAAATAAGTTCTCCCATACAGTGGGCTCCTATTTCATTTTGTTGATGGTTTCTTTTGCTGTACGGAACCTTTTTATTTTGATGTAGTCCCATTTCTTTATTTTCTCCTTTGTTCTCCTTGCCCTAGGAGATGTATTGGCAAATATATTGCTACCAGAGATGTCTGAGATTTTGCTGCCTATGGTTTCTTCTAGGATTTTTATGTTTTCATGACTTACATTTAAGTCTTTTATCCATTTTGAGTTTATTCTTGTGTATGGTGTAAGTTGGTGGTCTAGTTTCATTTTTTTTGCATGTACCTGTCCAATTATCCCAACACCATTTATTGAAGAGACTGTCTGGACTCCATTGTATACTCTTGCCTCCTTTGTCAAATATTAATTGAGCGTAATGGCTTGGGTCAATTTCTGGGGTCTCTGTTCTGTTCCATTGATTTATATGCCAGTTCTTAGGGCAGTACCAGGCTGTTTTGATTACAATGGCTTTATAGTATAATTTGATACCCAGTATTGTGATCCTTCCTACTTTGTTTTTCTTTCTCAAGATTGCTGCAGCTATTCGGGGTCTTTTTTTGTTCCATATAAATTTTTGGAGTATTTGTTCTAGATCTGTGAAATATGCCATTGGTATTTTAATAGGGATTGTGTTGAATCTCTAGATTGCTTTGAGTAGTATGGATATTTTACTGATGTTCTTCCAATTCATGAACATGCTATGTTATTCCATTTGTTTATGTCTTCCTCTATTTCTTTTTCCAATGTCCTGTAGTTTTCCGAGTACAGGTCTTTTACCTCCTTGGTTAAGTTTATTCCTAAGTATCTCAAATTTTTTGTTACAATGGTAAATGGGATTGTGTTTTTAGTTTCTCTTTTTGAGTATTCATTATTGGTGTATAAAAATGCCATCGATTTCTGGATGTTAATTTTGTGCCCTGCTACTTTGCGGAACTCATTTATTAAATCTAGTAGGTTTTTTTGGTTGAGTCTTTAGGATTTTCTATGTATAATGACATGTCATCTGTGAATAATGACAGTTTCAACTCCTCCTTTTAATCTTTTTAAGAGCATTCTACATATACTACATAATCAACCTCTCCTTTAAATCAAAACAGTTCCATAAGATGCAAATAAAAATCTGTGACAGGTTTAATATAGTTTTGATCATAATTTACAGATGAGCTTTGCAAGTAGGGGTCAGAGGGCATTAATTTTTCCCATAGTTAAGCTAAAATAAACATGTTCCTTCTAGTCATGATTACATTATTAAACCCCATTACTCACACTTAATCACAGTACTTTTTGTTTAAAAAAATATAATACAATGGTATGCAAAGCAGTAAATTAAGCTCTTTATTTTATCTATGATATTTTGGCAAAAACTCAGGAATATAACAAAAAAGGAAGATGTTGATTATAAATTTCCACTAAATTTAGTATCTGTTAACCAAAGCCTAAATTTCTATATTCTTCAGTTAAATAAGAGCTTTTACCCAAGTCTAATTTGTCTTTAAGGACAGTCATTTGTCTTCCGAATATTTGAAAAGATTTTTTAAAATAGTACTACGGTTGTTGTTTCTATAATTCTAAACTTTGATAGCAATTATAGTATACATTTCCTTTCTGAATAGCTTTTGAATTAATGTAAAATAGTATTTTTTAAGTTATACATGTGTAAACATTGTATTACCTTATTTCTCTTGTGTTGATAGTAGTGCTTATGTTTTAGTACTGTTTTTTGCTTCTGAATATTTGTGTAGCTTTTGTATGTAGTTTATCTACTGTTTATAAAATTTGATTTATAATAAATATTGTTAAAATGAAAATGGCTAAACACTTATTTTTAAAGAGCATTTCTATAACAAACATTTTATATGTGCCAAAATTTGATCATGACACAAATTTTTAATGATAAAAATAGAATAAAATTTTCCAATCTTTGTCTCATGTTAATGAAAAGTGAGCTGTATTCCATGTATGTGTACACACAAAGCACTCTGGAAAAATACAAGGAAGTAGAAAACCTATTTTAATCTAAGGAATTTCCAATATAAGGCTTCCTTTGTTAAAAGATACATTTTATTATGATTGGATATTTACTAAGATTAGACATCTTTCTTTTCTATATTTAAGAAAATAATAAATTGTTTCTAATATACTTCCTTTTTTTAAGTATTATGTGTTCACCACCTCAAGTCAAGTCTCCTTCCATCATCATTTATCCCCCCTTTACCCTCTTCTACCTCCTCTGTGATATACTTTTCTTAGGTTTATACAAATGGATCTTATTTTTAAACTAGGGGCCCAGTGCACTAATTCGTGCACCTTGAACTGTGGGCTGCAAGGCTGTGGAAGGCACAGGGGCAGGTCTCGGCCCATCCTCTGCCCCTCCTGCATGGCCCCCAGTCCCCTGTCTGCCTGCAGCCCTGCTTCCACCACCGCCGCTCCCATTCATTGACAGCGCCGGCCCCACTCACACCCACTGAAATGCT